CTGTGTCCTCTTGTCCTGCTGTCCCTCAATTTTATGTTATTTTCGGTATCTTGTATGTTGTGAGCATGTCTCCTCTGTTCCTTCTGTCCGCTAGGGTTGTGAGATTTAGTTCCATTAGCCTGTCTTCGTAGCTTAATCCTCTTAGCTCTGGCCTCTTATATCTGGTCTAGGCCAGGCTAACTATGGTCTAATCCTCTTAAATCTTGTTGTAAAGTTTTGTATTTTTTAAATTTTGACTTTATGTTTAATAAGGTGAAGGTTCCAGGCCGGTGCTGCGTATTCCAGTATTTGTCTAACAAATTATATTCATATATTTGCCAGCGTTCAAATTGTTGCAATTGTTATCCTATGTATATGTGCCGCTGGTGTTACTTCTGGTCTCCTAAAACCATTTGTCTTCATTACCTTACACTTGTCACGGTTGAACTCAAGTAACCTTTCGTTTGATCACTCCTGGAGCTCGTCAAGGTCCTCCTGTAACTTGCTGCAGTCGTTCTCTGTTTTTATATTGCTCATGAGCAAACACTGAGATGTCTGAGCTCACTCCCTCGGGAAGGTCGTTCACATAAATTAGGAAGAGTAGTGGTCCCAGGATAGAGCCTTGTGGGTCTCCACTTGGTGCATTCCTCCAGCTTGAAACATTTTCTCTGACTGTGACTCTCTGTTTTCTGCCCTTCAGGTACTCTCTTAACTACCCAGTCCCCCTGTGTTCCCAGTTATCCCAGCCTGGGTCACCATCTTGTACAACAGTTTGGTGATCATGAGAGACAGTGCCAAATGCTTTTTGACAGTCTAGAAAAATACAGTCAACCCAGCCTCGTTTATCCTGTTATTGTAAGACCGTCACATATCTTAGTCAAGTTTGTACCGGACGACATTCACGATTAAATCAATGCTGATTATCTGTCACAAAGTCTATCCTTGGGAGGGGGGGGGGTAGAACTAGCCTAAGCTACTCTATCCCTTAGAGATATATTTCTTTCTTGTCTCAATAAACTTACTTGAACTTGAAGTCTATCCTCCCCAGATGCTGGGGCCATGAGGCTATCTTGAGATGATTTCGAGGCTTTAGTGTCCCTGCAGCCCGGTCTGCGACCAGGCCTCTATCCCCAAGAAGCAGCCCGTGACAACTGACTAACTCCCAGGTACCTATTTTACTGCTAGGTAACAGGGGGCATGCTTGGGGAGCCACTCTTAACCTGAGTACTGTCACCAGCACTTTACAATGACATACATGGCACTGTAGTTTGAGTGCCAACCATCTATCCCCCTGAAGGACGAGGAAGCAGCAGCAGCAACAACAACAGGGCCACGCTAACGACCGCTGGTGCCACCGAACAACCAGGTGTTCAGACCAGCTTCCGCTCGTTCAACAAAGGCGTTGAGTGAACAAGTGAACGGGAGGGCAGTCAAGTGCGCTTTGTCTCGTCATGGCTGGCATAAAAGGCACTAATTAGTGTGGCACTGGACTCATGGCACCCTCCCCTTCCCCCCCCTTCCTCCCCCCCCCCCTCTCACCACACTGGCCACAGTCGGTCATTGATGTTTCTGAGTGGTAATTGATATGAACACTTTTTTTTAGAGAGAGACAAAGAGTGTGAGAGACATGATGCTTTGATGAATACTGTAGGCATTGATGACGGCTGAACGGGGCATTGATGACGGCTGAACGGGGCATTGATGACGGCTGAACGGGGCATTGATGACGGCTGAACGGGGGCATTGATGACGGCTGAACGGGGCATTGATGACGGCTGAACGGGGCATTGATGACGGCTGAACGGGGGCATTGATGACGGCTGAACGGGGCATTGATGACGGCTGAACGGGGCATTGATGACGGCTGAACGGGGCATTGATGACGGCTGAAAGGGGGCATTGATGACGGCTGAAAGGGGGCATTGATGACGGCTGAAAGGGGGCATTGATGATGGCTGAAAGGGGGCATTGATGATGGCTGAAAGGGGCATTGATGACGGCTGAAAGGGGGCATTGATGACGGCTGAAAGGGGGCATTGATAATGGCTGAAAGGGGCATTGATGACGGCTGAACGGGGGCATTGATGACGGCTGAACGGGGCATTGATGACGGCTGAACGGGGCATTGATGACGGCTGAACGGGGCATTGATGACGGCTGAAAGGGGCATTGATGACGGCTGAAAGGGGGCATTGATGATGGCTGAAAGGGGGCATTGATGACGGCTGAAAGGGGGCATTGATGACGGCTGAAAGGGGGCATTGATGATGGCTGAAAGGGGCATTGATGACGGCTGAACGGGGGCATTGATGACGGCTGAACGGGGCATTGATGACGGCTGAACGGGGCATTGATGACGGCTGAACGGGGCATTGATGACGGCTGAAAGGGGCATTGATGACGGCTGAAAGGGGGCATTGATGATGGCTGAAAGGGGGCATTGATGACGGCTGAAAGGGGGCATTGATGACGGCTGAAAGGGGGCATTGATGATGGCTGAAAGGGGCATTTATTGGTTCATTGGGCTGTACGGTAGAGCGCCGGTCTTACCTCATGCAGGTCGGCGTTCAATCCCCGACCGTCCACAAGTGGTTGGACACCATTCCTTTCCCACCGTCCCATCCCAAATCCTTATCCTGACCCCTTCCCAGTGCTATATAGTCGTGGTGTCTTGACGCTTTATCGTGATAGTTCCCTACCCCCTGGTTCATCTTCACCCTCTACCCTCTAAAGGAGCCGGTCGGCCGAGCGGACAGCAAACTGGACTTGTGATCCTGTGGTCCCGGGTTCGATCCCGGGTGCCGGCGAGAAACAATGGGCAGAGTTTCTTTCACCCCTATGCCCCTGATACCTAGCAGTAAAATAGGTACCTGGGTGTTAGTCAGCTGTCACGGGCTGCTTCCTGGGGGTGGAGGCCTGGTCGAGGACCGGGCCCCGGGGACACTAAAGCCCCCAAATCATCTAAAGATAACCTCAAGATAACCCTCGTTGTCTTCGATGATGGTTAAGGAAATTCTTATCTCAATTGTCTAATTCCACCTTCATCGGGGCTTAACCATTGTACAGTTAATTTCTCGAAAATTTAAGTCGCCAAGAACTATGAATTTGTATCTCTTATTTGCAGCTGCTGCTGCTGCCTCTGACATAAACCCGGCAAACACACAACGAACCTCAGTGTTATTTCCCGTTATTAATTTATGATGATGTAAAATATTGCAGCGGTCAGGTTACTATTTGTTTTATCTATTTTATCATGCGTCTGATAAATTCCTGCGTTTTGGCCACACGTCACATTATCATTGGAATCAGAATTATATTACATATACATATCTTCGGAGTCACTCTAACTCCATCCATTGATTATTTTATAATGGCATGATAGCCCCGTGGAAACAGGGCATCTCTGTCATTTCCGTGAGTTTTGTTTCTGATATTGCAATTACATACAGCTGAAGTTCCTTTACCCTCTCCTTTACTTTTACCCCTCTCTCATCCTGTAGTCTCTGTCTATCTTCATCTGTCTTGATTCTTCTCATAATTTTTGCATCATCAGCAAACATTGAGAGGAATGAGTCTATACCCTCTGGAAGATCGTTCACATATATTAGAAACAGGATGGGTCCAAGTACAGAGTCCTGTGGGACTCCGCTGGTGACATCTCGCCACTCTGATGTCTCCCCCCTCACCGTTACTCGCTGTTTCCTGTTGCTTAGATACTCCCTTATCCACTGGAGCACCTTCCCTTTTACTCCTGCCTGTTGTTCCAACTTTTTTAAAAGCCTTTTATGGGGTACCGTGTCAAAGGCTTTCTGGCAATCCAGGAAAATGCAGTCGGCCCACCCTTCTCTTTCCTGCCTAATTTTTGTTGCCTGGTCATAGAATTCTATTAAACCTGTGAGGCACGATTTACCATCTCTGAACCCATGTTGGTGGTGCGTTACAAAGTTATTTCCCTCCAGATGCTCTACGAGCCTTTTCCTCACAATCTTCTCCATCACCTTGCATGGTATACAAGTTAAGGAAACTGACCTGTAGTTCAGTACCTCTTGTCTGTCACTCTTCTTGTATATTGGGACCACGTTAGCTGTCTTCCAACTTTCTGGTAAGTCTCCTGTTTCCAGTGACCTGTTATACACCATAGAGTGTGGCACACTTAGTGCTTCTGCACCTTCCTTTAGTATCCATGGTGAGATTCTGTCAGGCCCATTCTGATTCTGTGTGTGTGTGTGTGTGTGTGTGTGTGTGTGTGTGTGTGTGTGTGTGTGTGTGTGTGTGTGTGTGTGTGTGTGTGTGTGTGTGTGTGTGTGTGTGTGTGTGTGCGCACCAGCTAATCAAAATACCCCGTGTAACATCAAATTAAAAAAAAAAAATGACATGGACATTATAAAATAAGATAATTTAATCCCGTGATAATACATAATTGTATAATACAATACATACATTAAACCTTGTCCACATTAATACAACATTTTCAACCAGCGAGCGACCATATAGATTTATGTAGGAAAAACCTTGAACATAAACATGAGGGGGGGGGTTCTTGCCTCGCCCTGGGGGGGGGGATCTTGCCTCGCCCTGGGGGGGGGGATCTTGCCTCGCCCTGGGGGGGGGGGGGTTCTTGCCTCGCCCTGGGGGGGGGGGGGGTCTTGCCTCGCCCTGGGGGGGGGGGTCTTGCCTCGCCCTGGGGGGGGGGGGTCTTGCCTCGCCCTGGGGGGGGGGGGGGTTCTTGCCTCGCCCTGGGGGGGGGGGGTCTTGCCTCGCCCTGGGGGGGGGGGGGTCTTGCCTCGCCCTGGGGGGGGGGGGGGTTCTTGCCTCGCCCTGGGGGGGGGGGTTCTTGCCTCGCCCTGGGGGGGGGGGAGGAATTTTATGCTTGAATTGGAGTATATGCGCTCATGCCTGTGCATTATATGCGCTCATGCCTGTGCATTATATGCGCTCATGCCTGTGCATTATATGCGCTCATGCCTGTGCATTATATGCGCTCATGCCTGTGCATTATATGCGCTCATGCCTGTGCATTATATGGGCTCATGCCTGTGCATTATATGCGCGCATGCCTGTGCATTATATGCGCTCATGCCTGTGCATTATATGCGCGCATGCCTGTGCATTATATGCGCGCATGCCTGTGCATTATATGCGCGCATGCCTGTGCATTATATGGGCTCATGCCTGTGCATTATATGCGCGCATGCCTGTGCATTATATGCGCGCATATACACACAGGAGGCCAGGCACAGGATACAGAATAGGAGATGAAGTACTTAATGAAACAGACAGAGAGAAAGATCTAGGAGTTGATATCACACCAAACCTGTCTCCTGAAGCCCACATAAAGAGAATAACGTCTGCGGCATATGCGAGGCTGGCTAACATCAGAACGGCGTTCAGGAACCTGTGTAAGGAATCATTCAGAATCTTGTACACCACATATGTAAGACCAATCCTGGAGTATGCGGCCCCAGCATGGAGCCCGTACCTTGTCAAGCACAAGACGAAGCTGGAAAAAGTCCAAAGGTATGCCACTAGACTAGTCCCAGAACTAAGAGGCATGAGTTACGAGGAAAGGCTGCGAGAAATGCACCTTACGACACTGGAAGACAGAAGAGTAAGGGGAGACATGATCACAACCTACAAAATTCTCATAGGAATTGACAGGGTAGATAAAGATAAACTGTTCAACACTGGTGGGACGCGAACAAGGGGACACAGGTGGAAACTGAGTACCCACATGAGCCACAGAGACGTTAGAAGGAACTTTTTCAGTGTCAGAGTAGTTAACGGATGGAATGCATTAGGCAGTGATGTGGTGGAGGCTGACTCCATACACAGTTTCAAGTGTAGATATGATAGAGCCCAGTAGGCTCAGGAATCTGTACACCAGTTGATTGACAGTTGAGAGGCGGGACCAAAGAGCCAAAGCTCAACCCCCACAAGCACAACTAGGTGAGTACAACTAGGTGAGTACACACACAAGGAGCCTCGCGGTTGAGTGGATTGCGCTCGGAGGTCGTAGTCCTAAGGGCCCGTGTTTGATTTCCGGCCGAGGCAGAAACAAATGTGCAATTTCTTACACCCTGATGCAACTGTTCACCTAGCAGGAAAGACGTACCTGGGAGTTAGACAGCTGCTACAGGCTGCTTCCAGGGGATGTATGTGTGTACTCACCTAGTTGTGCTTCTGGGGGTTGAGCTTTGGCTCTTTAATCCCGCCTCAGTGTGAGTGTATATGTGTTAGAGAGAAATTTATAGTATACATAATATGTATACTACAGAACACGAAACAATGGGTATAAATTGGATAAGTTTAGATTTAGGAAAGACTTGGGTAAATACTGGTTCAGTAACAGGGTTGTTGATTTGTGGAACCAATTGCCGCGTAACGTGGTGGAGGTGGTGTCCCTCGATTGTTTCAAGCGCGGGTTGGACAAGTATATGAGTGGGATTGGGTGGTTATAGAATAGGAGCTGCCTCGTATGGGCCAATAGACCTTCTGCAGTTACCTTTGTTCTTATGTTCTTATTTCTTACTATATATATTAGGCATGCTTCAGTCTCGGGAGACTATGGAGTTGCGCCCTAGTTGCCAATCCTGGTGCAGCGTCTGGTGTGACTGATGAGGCCAATCCCAGAGTGGCAGTCCATCCCACACCGAGCACAAACGAAGTCCGATTCTGGTCTGTCTTCCTGGCTACCGGCTTTCCTTCTCTGTCTCTTTGCCTCCGATTCCTTGGCAAGTGACTCCTCGAACTTGGAGATACCTCTTTGAACAGAGGTCTCTCCAACCTCTGCAACCTCTGCAGCCAGTGTCTCCCATATAGCTAGATCGACGTCCATGGCTTTCAGGTCCCTTTTGCATACGTCTTTGTACCGTAGCTGGGGCTTGCCTGTTGGACGCTTTCCCTGCCTCAGCTCTCCGTACAGGAGATCCTTGGGGATCCTGCCGTCGCCCATTCGCACAACGTGCCCGAGCCAGCGCATTCGTCTCTGTTTCAGCATTGTGTACTGAGGGGCCTCGTAGCCTGGTGGATAGCGCGCAGGACTCGTAATTCTGTGGCGCGGGTTCGATTCCCGCACGAGGCAGAAACAAATGGGCAAAGTTTCTTTCACCCTGAATGCCCCTGTTACCTAGCAGTAAATAGGTACCTGGGTGTTAGTCAGCTGTCACGGGCTGCTTCCTGGGGGTGGAGGCCTGGTCGAGGACCGGGCCGCGGGGACACTAAAGCCCCGAAATCATCTCAAGATAACCTCAAGATGCTGTTGAGTCTTGCTCTCTCCCCAAGACATTGTTGTTCGTCACCTTGTCCTGCCAGGTGATGTCCAAGATGTGTCTAAGTCAGCGCATGTGGTAGGCATTCAGCTGTCTTTCCTGACGGGCGCGGAGTGTCCAAGACTCACTGCCATAAAGGAGAGTGCTCAAGACACAGGCTCTGTAAACCTGAATCTTATAAAACTCAGTCTATTGTTGGCCCACACTCTCTTTGTCAGTCTGGACATGGTAGTAGATGCCT